CACACACACACACACACACACACACTCCCTCCCTTCCACCCTAAAAAAGTCAATGGAGAAAATATCCTTGGGTGAGGATTAACAAAAAATAAAAAATAAAATCAGGTTGGTGTGCTGGCATGAGGGGTAGCAGGGCAAAGCAGTTAGGAGTGCGGATTCTGGAGCCTGGCTGCCTGGGTTCAAATCCCAGCTCTGTCGCTTAGGAAGTGGGTGATCTTGATCTAGACACTGAACCTCTTTGGCCTGTTTCTTTGTCTGTAAAATGGAGGTAAATAATAGTACACACTATTATGCCCCATATACAGATGAGAAAACCAGGGCCCAGAGAGGCTAAGTAACTTGCCCAAGGTCTTACAGCCAGTGAGTGACAGAGCCTGAATTTAAATTCTCAGTCTCAGCTTTTGCCTCTTTTGTTTTTAATCCTCACCCAATGATATTTTTTCCATTGACTTTTTTAGAGAGAGTGGAAGGGAGGGAGGGGGAGGGAGAGAGAGAAACAGAGAGAGAGAGGAGAAACATCAATGTGAGAGACGCATCAATTGATTGCCTTCCTCACGCAAGTGCCCTGACCAGGGATTGAACCTGCAACCCACACCGGCCAGGGCAGCTTTTGCCTCTTTTACTACCTATCAGGGTGAGGCCTGAGCTGAGACCTGCACCCCAGACCTCCTTCCACAAACTGGGGACCCCCCTGAAGTGGAATAGGTCTGGGCCACTCACTTGAGGAAGTCCTCTGGCTCCTCGAAGACCTTCTCACATCCGGGCCACTTGCAGACACCATTTGCCAGCAGTGAGTAGGGGCCCTGGGGCACAGTCGAAAGGGTGCTGGGGGGACAGAGAGTGTTAGAGGAGGGCCTGGCAAGGCAAGGGTCTTTCCCAGCCTTGCCCACTGACCTGTCTTTCCTGGGTGCACCAGGGCTTGGGAAGGTGCAGAGCAGTGCTGGTTCCCTGGACACCCACTCCAGGCTGGCCACGTTGATCCCTGTGGGTGGGGACAGGGCACCTCTGGAGACTATGGGCTGGGCTCTCCTTTTGAGCTTCCTACCCTCCTGAGTCTCTGGCGTCCCTCACATCCAAGGCTTCTGGTGGAGCAACTCAAATACTGCCATTCACAAGTGCTGACATTTTGACTAATTCTGCAAAGATCTGGTCTGTGATTTTGATGTTCTGCATCTTTCAGGTTATGAGCCTGACATTTTTTGGAGGTTGGAGTTTCCAAGATGATGAAACCTGACACCTGACACCTGAGGGCCATGATTCAGCAGCCTATGCTGCTCACTTTCAAGGACTTGGGGGCTCTGAGATTCTGTGGGGCTATGGGGTGTATTACCAGGTGGCAGGCCCGGCCGGGCCTTGAGAGAGAAGACCCCAGTGGCGGTGGTGGGTGGTGGGAGGCTGAGCATAGCTGGGCTGTCCAGTGGGCGCACCTGCAGCACAGGGGTCCGGGCATGGGCATCCACTGTTGAGAGCTAGGAGCACATATGGGCTGTGGTTCAGCCTGGGCCCCTCCCCAGTTCCCCCACCTGCTCCCTCTTCCCTGCCTGGTCAGGGTCCATACCTGGTGCATGAAGTGTGGCCTGTCCTGGAGGAGCGCCTGCAAGTGGGGCGAGGGACCCAGCCGTGCTCCAGAGGGTGCCACCATGACGAGGGGCACTGTAGGCACCTGGGGGGAGAAGGCAGGCAGGAGAGATGTCATCCTCACCCTCACTGTTCTACATGCTGAGTTCACATGCTCCTCACCACAACCCCACACAATAGGTACTACGATGGCCTCCTTTATACATATGTAGAAACTTAGGCTCAGGGAGATTGAGTGACTTTCTCAAGATCAACCAGCTAATAAGTGGCAGAGCTGGCCTCAACTTTGTCATCTCACCTCCTGGGGCCCCAGCCTCTCTTCTGTCACATGGGGATGGGGACATGTGGCCATGCTTTTGGGAATATGATAGGGTCTCCTCTCCTGAGAGAGGGATTGGGAGTTTGGGGAGAGCCTCGAATCTCTGAGACCTGCTAAGTGGGGACTTTCTTGGCCCTGTGATATCTGCATAAGTCACAGACTTGCCTGGGACCCAGAAAACCACTTCCTGTGCCCCAGCCGGGCCCCCCGCCCAGTGCCACAGTAAAGGTCGGCACCTGTAGGCCCAGGTACTCCACCCTGCTTGCTCCATCCTGGGCCCTGGGCCTCACCTGCAGCTGTGATGGTGGCATGGGGTTCAAGCAGGAGGAGGCGGCATGGGTCCCGCCTCGGAGGTCCCGGCCCTGGAAGGTTGCCCCCGGGCTCTTGGCCCCCAGCTGGTCTGAGGCCTTGGGTATAGCCCTCCAGCTGGGTGAGGGTCCTGGGGATGGGCTGAGCACCAAGGAAGGGGCCAAGGGCTTGGATGGCCTGGGGTTGGGCATTGGGTCCTTGTACGAGGTCAGGCTGTGGAGACATGGGGGGAATGAGTTATACATGTGCTGGGGGTGTGCAAAATACTCAACCACCTGAACCATGTGGATACACCCTCTGGTCAGAGCAGGCATTGGCTGGGACATGTCCCAAAGAACCCCACAAGTAGACCCCAGCTCTGGACATGTTTGCATGCACATGCACACACACGGTATCAGGAGCATAAGTGTGTGTGTGTCTGCACATGCCCCACATGCAGACTTGCACCAGTCCAGCACATGGCTTGCCTGCGCATGCTGGCACAGCCCTGGTGGGGATGTGTCCTCCAGAGGGCAGTTGGGGTTCAGTGTGGTTTGCAGGGCCTTAGCCAGGGCAGGTCTCAGCTCTGTCCCCCATCACTTGAGGCTTTATCTTCAGTCCTCCAGTCCTCCCTGCACCTGGAATAAGTCACACCACCTTTGCTGATCCACATGGGGCTGGTCTCTGATTTTCTCCTGGGAGCATGATTTTACCCCAGTGATTTGGGCATATCTGGGAATGGCAGGGGGCATGGACTCAAAAGATCCCTCTGGCTGCTGTGAGAGGGACAGACTCTACGAAGGCAGGGCAGAAGCAGAGGACTAGTGAGGATGCTACTGCAACAGTCAAGGTGAGTGACAATGGTCGCACAGAACAGGACGGTGGCAGTGGAGATGGTGAGAAGTGAGTGGATTCTGAGCATGTTCAGAGCATTTTCTGGTAGCTTGGATCTGGGGTTAAAAGAGGGAGAGTCAAGGTGACTTCTGGGTAATAGCCTGAGCAGCTGGAGGGACAGAACTGATGTGACCAGAGATGAGGTAGATGGGGGAAGCTGTGTGTACGTGTGATGATCCAGATGTGGATGAGCATGAGGAGTCTGGCATTAGACATACGAGTGGAAATGCTGAGTGGGCAGCTGAGTATAGGAGTCTGGAGCTCAGGCAGCGGCAGAGTCTGGCCATCTCTGGGCTCTGCCCTGCATGGAACTGGTAAGTGCCAGAGAGGAGAGACGGGCTCTCTTAAGCCAGGGCCTGTGGGAGCTCCTTGACTCAGACCCCACTGGAATTGATGCCCAGCTGCCTCCAAGCCTTGGCTCATGCTGTTTGACTTGCCTGGAATGCCCACTCCTCCTCTTCCCCTGTCTGAGGCCAATCCAGAAAGCCCTCCACAGCAGCTCCAGACCCCTACACTCCCCAACAGGCGGGGCCTTGGTTTCCCAGAATCCTATAATCCCAGACTGAGAGGAAGTCAGAGCTGGAAGGGACTGCCTAGTCCAACCTGCATTTTACCGAAGGGGACACCCAGGGGCAGCATTCCACAATCCCATGGCTACTTGAGAGCTCCACTTTTCTCCAGAAAGGGTGTGCTCAAGCACATTTCACAGGCCCCTGCTGTGGGGCTGTGTGTCTCTCCGCCTCACCCCACAGTACAGGGTTGGGCACACGGCTGCTGACGCCAGCCCTAGGTAGTACAAGGAGGCTTCTGGGGGAGCACTTGTTCCTTCCTTTCCTTGCTGTTAGTCCATGGGAGTTGTCAGAACTGTGGTGCTGAGGGAGGGAGGGATGAAAATCCAGATACTCAACCCTTAGTCTCCCTTGGGGGTTAGAACATTACTGTGTGAGAAACAGGAGTTTGGATCTGTGGAAGCTCAGGACAAGGGCCCGAGAGAACGTCAGTGACCACGAGGTGAATGAAGGAATTAGTGAACGAATGAAGGTGGAGATCAGGGCGATGCTTCTATAAGCCAAGGAATGCCAAGAATTGCTAGCAAACCATGAGAAGCTACGGGAGTGGCCCGGACACTTTCTTACAGTTCTAGGAGCCAGCCCTGTCATCATCACCTTGATCTAGGATTTCAGGCCTCCAGAACTGAGGCAATAAATTTCTATTAAGTCACCCAGTTTGTGGTACTTTGTTACAGAAACTGGAGCAAACTAGTACCAATTTTGGTGAGTGAATGGATGTTTCACATTACTCTGGCTTGGTCCACACAGCTGGCCTGCGGTCACTTCTGAAGCTGCCTGGATACTTGGCCAGAGCTTGTGAGAAATCTCCTCCTCAGACACACCTGGAGCAGCCTGACTCAGGAGCAGAGCTGCATTCTCAGAAAGGGGCCATGGACACGGGCTGTCTGGTGGTGGGTGCTGGAGGGCCGGGCTGGGCAGCCAGCTTCCTGCACTGTCTGTTGGGGCGTCCCTTTCTGACTGTTTCTCAGAAGACACATGGAGGATGTTTCTGGGACATAGATTGTGTTTTCATATCGGGGTCTGCATCTGGGCCCTGTTGTCAGAGCCTCTGACTTCCCCAGATTTTTCCGCCATTGACGTCATGGCGGCCGGATGCGCTGGGCTTCATGGGCACCAAGGAGGCAGACACCCCACCCCACGGGTTTCGTTCCGAGAAGTGGCCGGCCCATCCTGCAGCCGAGCCCACTTGGCCCAGGTGGGGTGATGAGGGTGCTGGCGGATGTGGTGAGTGACGTCCATCTGGCCACCATGACAAGCCCTGGGCCCTGTAGACCTGGCCCTTCTCAGGCAAGAATCAGCCCAAGACTTGATGCTTGCGGAGTGCCATAAAGATCCCACAGACACTGGGACCCTGGGGGTCTTCAAATGGTACTATGCCAAAACCTCAGAGTCACAGAGCATCATTACTTAGATTCAAAGGATCCCAGGATCTCAAACCCACACACTCTCTGGGGGCCATGGGTCCAACTTCTCAGTATGTGAAAGCCAATGTCCCTGGTATCCAAAATTACTGGAACTCCCTGAAGGTCAGAAAACTCACTGCTTCATCTGGCCTCCCGCCTACCAGGCCTGAAATTGCAATAAACCTCTCCTTCTTAAGTTCTGTGAAGGCAGGAGGGTCAGAATTACCCCCTCTCCTTCCCCCAGCCTGGGGCCAGGTTCTGCCACTAACTAGCTACAACTCTCCTCAGGCTCATACGTAAATTGGGACAATAACAGTATCCATTTTCTAAAGTTAATGCACATGGAACGCTTAGCAAAACATCAGTGACTGGTGAAGGGACCCTGCAGGGCCTCGGTCTCCCTATCCATTCTGGAACAATGTTCCCAGACCCATAGCCACTTTTCCAGAGATGGGGAAGGAAGACAGGGGAGGTTGAAGCTGGAGAACTTTTGGCAAGGGCCTCATGGTGGGGAGCAGTAAAAGCCCTGGCCTTTGCCAGTAGAGATCCCACCACCAGGCTCTCTGGAAAGGCCCTGGGATGGAGGTTCCCAGGAACCAGTGCAACTCTGAAGACATGGCTGAGCTCTGTCCATAGCTAGACCCGCTGACTGATGTCCTCCCAGTAACATCACCCTCTGCCCATGAGGCGTCCTGACCCATGGGCCCTGGGACCCCACCCAGCATAGCTCTTGCGAGGCTGAGCCTCACACTGTGACCATAGATCCTTCTGCCCTAGTGAGGGTCCCATCTGTGAGAAGGCAGAATGGGGAATGGCAGCAGCTGGAGGGCCAAGTCCCCTTGCCCCCCTCATGGTGCTGAGAGGTAAACTGAGGCCCACAGTGAGGGAGAGACACAGCCACGGTCCCACTGAGAGTCCTAAGTTCTGAGCTTGGGTCTCAACTCTGCCACTGCATCTCTGTGAGGACTTGGGAGAGGCCCTCCCACCCATCTCTGGGTCTCAATTTGCTCCTCTTGTACACTGGGAAGGGGAGAGGTGTGGAGTAGGTGAGGGCCAGGACCCTTCCACCCTGTCAGGGTGAGTTGTTAGGTGTCTACAGAGCTTCACATCGACAACTGCTCCTCTATCCAGGGGACCAAGAGACAGGGATACATAGAGACAAAGAGAGATGGAAACAAAGAGACAGACATAGAGGCAGAGAGAGACACAGAGAACAAGAGATACAGAGAGAGATGGCAGAGATAGACAGAATGAGAGACAAAGAGAATGAGAGAGACAGTGAGAGATGCTGAGTGGAGAGAGAGAGTGTATGTATGACCCATAGGACCTATGTGAGAGAGAGACAGAGCGAGAGTGATGCCCCAAATAAGAACAGTTGACGGCCTCTGGCTAGAGAAACTGATGCTGCTTGAAATGATGAAGAATAACAAAGGGCAAGATGGGGGCTACACCTAGGCTGGGTATTGTTTTGTGCTGCAAAGCAACGATCAGTAAAGTGGCGTGTACAGCGGTTCCAGTACAAGGGCAGACACTGAGGAACAGAACAGAACAGAACAGAATGCCCAAACACAGACCCATGGCTAGAGGGAATGCGGTTTGTGATGACTGTGGCATTTCAAACTGGGGGACGGTGTAGGATAGACTGTTTAACAAATGTTTCTGGGATAATTAAGGGAAAAATAGTTATTGAATGAATAATCAGCCCTTTCCCCACTAACCCCTCCCTACCCAGTTTGAAATGTCAGCATCATCATATACCCTAAAAGAAATTCCAGATCCATCGAAAAGATAAATAATAATATCTAATATGGATGTTGGGCGTATTGTATTCCAGGCCCTATGCTAGGAACTTAACATGGTTAATAGACTTAATCCTCACAACCACCTTTGAGGTAGATACTATTGTAACTGCCACAGTAGGTAGGAGGAAATGGAGGTAACAGGGTTTAAATGCCTGGCTAAAAATCACACAGATGGCTTAGGGTGAGGCTGGGTTTGTTGCAGATAGTCTGGCTCCAACACATGTGAACATTTACCTCATTTTCAACTGTGAAAAGACTTTCTAAGCACAAAACCAGAGACAGTAACCACAGAAGAAAAGACTAACCTATTTGACTATATAAAAATGTCACAAGTATCATAAAACACTATGAACAAATAGGAAAAGTAAATATTTGTTATGTATGTATGGCTGATGAAAGGTTAATATCCTTTCTAAATAAAGAGCTGTGATAAATCAATAGGAAAAGAGATGAACACCCTATTGGGACTAAGGACACCAGATAGAAAAAGTACAAATGGTTAATAAACAGTATAAGTAATCAAAGAATGTAAATTTCAACAATGTGGTAATTTTTTTTTACCTGTTATGTTGAGAAAGGATTAAAAAATGATAATACCCACCCAAGGTTAGCTTGAGTAGAGAGAGCATAAAACAGGACAAGCTTTTGGGAGAATAGTTTGCCGAGAGGCTCAGAAACCTTAAAAATGCAACCACCCTTTGCCCCAATAACTCCATTTCCAGGGACCCAAG